AATAGCTTTGTTTGGATTAATTGTCAAATGAAGCAACTCTCGTGCCTCTTGATAACAAACTTTTCTGAAGTTGGAAAACATAATGAGCTAAAGTACATCACATCAAAAGCCTACACAGTGCTAAATTAACATAATGTGATAAGATACAATGTGACATAACATCTTCATAAATTTAAGCATGTCAGAAAATAAGATATCTTTCTATCAGCTTATTCTGAATCTAATCCATATTTAATCAGCTAGATCACTAGCCAGCAACTTTGAAAGTTTATTTAATAACACCATCACCGATTGTCTACGGTGACCCAATTAGAACTACAGAAACAAGTTTAACAGAATACCAAGACAGAGAATGTTGACGTATTCAGGAGCTCTCCATGAGTGAACTAAATCCCCGTTTACAGGGCTTGGCATTATTTTATCATGAACAGAATGAACACTTTGGTAATTACTGTCTGCACAAAAAAAAATAGCTTTCTTAAAAAATAATGTGCTATCTTTTCTTCTCTTTAAATGAGAATGCAATGTACAGAATCAGCATGGTAGGAGAATTTATCAGAAATACAGTAGGTGATGATTACCTAACAGAGGAATTGGGATTTTGTGGAATAGAAGATTTGAAGCACAGCTGAGCTATGAACATCCAAAGCAAGGCCACGGTTTTATCAACTGAGTCTAAAAAACTATTGCTGCAATTGTAACATGAATATACTTCTGATCCAGTTACAAACATTTAGGCTAGAATAACATTTTCCATGGTATTTTAGCAATTCTAATTTTAATCTATGGAAATGCTGCATAGCAGAAAGGTGTAAGTATAATTCCCCTTCAAAAATATTTAAAGAAAAGAAAGGAAGTCAAAATCTCCAGAACTGTAGACTCAATTCACATTCCAGGGAAAGTTACGCATTTCTCCTACGATTCCTATAAGCTACTGTGCCAGCTGCAACAGCTGGGAGGAACATGTACTGCTATTGGACATAAGGCTGCACAAACATAGCCTACCATTTCCTGTACTTCTTATGAACAGACACGAGGCTTCTGGTGACAATTCAAATGAAGTACAAATTACACCTGTTTTGAGTAGCTGACAGGTATAGAGGAGCCTTTAAATATCCCTGGTAGAGTTACCTCTATTTACATGAGCTGTCTATCCTAATCCGAATACAGTTTCAGCTTTCAGAGCAGAACTTCAAAAACAATGCCCAGAGTCACAGCTTGTTTTGCTGTGGCGTGACAATGCTGCACGGCAGGTATGAACTCTGGATTATCAGCTGAAGATTGGAACCAGGTCTCATTTCTCTAGTCAAGTCTGCTTGGTAGTAAGAATTGGTGGACAGAGATACTGGCCACTTTCACATGTAATTGATCATCTCCAAACTTCCGGAGGTCACAACATTTTCCTTACAGCTGTAAGCAAGACCAACCAAATTAATTCTTTTTGAATTAATTAAGACTGAACCCTCTAGTACTACCTGATATTTACTTCACTGCAGGTTCCTTGAAATACAATGAAGAGATTTGATATGCCTTTTGAATACTTGCAGCCTTCCTAAAAACAATGTTCCACTTTCATGCGTCACAGCTGTGCCAGGAATTACCTTTTATATTTCATTACCCTCCATCATGAGCATAAAAAAAAAAAAACACATCAAGTTCCACAAGGTCCCTATTTATGTGTGAACTCAATTTTTCAGTTGTTAAGTTTGGCACCTTTTGTAGGCCTACTTTTGCAGGGCATAGTCACATAGGAGTAAGAAAACTTTGCTGCTTGTTACCAGCTATGCTGTTCAATCCTAACAACAGAGGACCTTTCTGGACTTTAAACAGACCCACCACTCCCCGTCCCCTCACACACACCCTTTTTTTTTAGAGCATTTATGCTAGATATCAAGAAAACAAGGAGTTTTTGTTACAGCCATGTGGGAGGCAAAACACTTTTCACCCCAAAAGAGATATATGCACATATAAGCACATCCAGGCAGCTTTTGCTTACAGCAAAAATTCTTTTAAGAAACTCCTTCTCTGACCTTTCATACATCGTTTTTCTGAAACACCACCACAGTAAGTCCCCAGCTATATGCAACGACACTGCCACAGCCAACAAAGCAAACTGCAACGTAATCATCACCTAAGATCCTGTCAGAATTGACATAGAGAGCCAATTTCAGTGTCAATGAAAATATTGTATAAATTTTCATACGCTAGTAACAGATCAAAAGGGTACTGTTCATCATCTCAGAGCATAAAGACGAGGAATACAGTTTCTAACACCAGTGAACATTCAAATACTGTAAATTTTACTACAGTTAGAGTAGCAGAGGTATTTCCTTGTATCTTTGTGACTGTTTGTCAGCAGTTTTAATAATAGTGTTTGTGTAAATGAAATAGCATATTGCGAAGGGCACAGTTCAAAGATCAGCAACCTCACTAAAACACAAATTCTCCATTTCAGGCATGGTCTTTTCCATGTTACTTAACCAGGATTTGGTCACTACTTCAATAGATACTTAGTTTAAAGAGTAACCCAAATTAAGGGATACAAATTGGTCACAGCTCTATGAGGCTTAATTTATAGTGAAGCTTGCTTTAAATGTGCTTGCAAACTGCCTAAAATTATTCAGAGCAGAGAAGCTGCTTGGAACAAAGGAGTTAACAGTTTTTCCATTATTTCATTTTTTCCTCTAGATGAGCAGAACCTGGCCATAACGCCTGTTGATACCTAAAGCAGAAAACAAATCTAGTTTAAATTCAACAATACTGTGATTCATTTAGCTTTAACAGATATGCCTCAGGAAATGGTGTGAGGGTGAGGAGAAACAGGAATATTGATTTTAAGTGAAACTTCTTGTTTTTTCAAAATTCAGAATTAAATACTATATCACCCCTTTCTAGCAAAGAAAAAGGGTTGGTATTAGACAATTATGTTTAACTGTATTATTTAGAATTGCTTCTTAAAGAAGAATTGTTGAATAAAAATGATCTCAACGTTATCAAAGTGCTTCACACAGAAATATTTAAGAGTAAATAATTTGAACTGTGGGAGAGGTAAGAGTTAATTCTAAGATCAACCATTTTGGCACCAGCAAAAGGAATCCCAACAATCAAAAAGCTTCACTGACTGTCTCCAATACTGCTTAGGAGGTGGAAGTGAGGGTGAAATGATAAAATAAAATATTCTGGATTTCCGATGACTTTCCCTTCGAAAAAGGGAATGACGTGGTATGCGCCAATTAACTTGGGTTACTGCACACCAGTGCTCTAAGTTCTCCTCTCTACTGACCTCAGTGACACTGGCTTTGAAAACAGCACGTGTAAATTCTGCAGAATGAAATCCCGTTACCTCTTGGCAACCTGAGACCAGTCAGTCAGAGAATTGGATGCTCACGAAGGTTTCCCTCCCAGCTGTTGTATTTCAGAGCTGCCAGACCCAATGGTCAGAATTGACTGCTGCATGCCAGCTCCCCACTGTTAGTGCTACTGTTCAGCAGCGGCAGATGCAGGACAGACATATTCCTTTCAAAACTGTCTGTTACAACTGCTTAAAAGCTGAACAGACAGATTATGTAAAGGAAACCTCCTGTGCTTCTGTTGTCTAAGATGATGGCCACTGCTGCGCTCATCTCACCTACCTTCCCAACATAAGAAAGACAAAAAGCAAAGGTTATTGCCCCTTTTGATGCCACCTCCGGTTGGACTACCCTGGGCTTGCCTAGGAAAGGTTTGTTCCCGTTTGTCCTGTGACCAGGTACTGGGACACTCGTAGTACTGCAGGCAACAATGCTGTGTATTTTTCTTCTCATCAATGTTCTTGGCTAACATTTCTGTTTTAAACCTTACCTAACAGGTCTCTGACTTCAGGCCACTTTACTCTGTTAGAGCCTCCTGGAGAAACACTTGTAAGACCTTGAACAAATACCACATTCTAGAAATATGAAATCCCCTCAGTCTTCCTAATGCTGCAGCTTCTTTCCCTGAGCACCAGGAAGGCTGATGACTGTATTAGCTGAAATCCTTCCCCTTAGCAGCAACTGCAGCAATAACAAGCAGACATTTACCAACACCGCTGCCCTTAACTCTGGTCTGTCATTTTAAAATATACTGTACATGGAGGATCTCTTGGCAGGTTTTGGTGGAACTCAGCAAGGAACCCTGCAGGAGCTCTTTCCATGCTCTACACTGCTTCACTGACTATACCTTTCCCATCAGATTTGTAAATACTTTTTTTAAAAGCATCCTCTTACCAAGTTAGCAGACATAGGATCAGCATATGTGTCATCTTCTGAGATTACAGGCAAGAGGTATTTCCAAAATAATTATTAGCAGACACTGCCTTTGGAAAAAAACATTTCTCCATTGGTAAGTGCTACTCTGGCTTGTCAGAAACACTTCACGGGAACACACCACTGTCAGCTAAGCTCTCATTAGGACAGGACCTGTCAAGGTGATCTTTCTGTTCACAGTCAGAGTTCAATGACCAGGACACTATCCTGAGTGCAGATGACTTGGGCACAGCACAGCTCATGTCTCTGACAAGTTCCTTGACAAGAGCTATTTGCCGCTCCAAGTTGTAGTCATCCCCAGTGAGGTAAATCAGTTCTTAAGTTCGTGGAGTCGAGCCATTTTTCATATTCGTGAAACTTTTCTGTCTTAGAATGTACACTCAAATTAGAATTTATGATTAAAAAAAAAATAACAACAACAAAACCCACACTTACCTAGCTCTACATAGACCTATTTTAAAATTTAAAAGAACTTCAAGTAGTGCTGGCATATTTTTTGTTTTCTCAAATACGAAGGAATTAAAAGAGAAAGCAATAGTTAGTAAGTAGTATAAAGATGATATAAAGCCATTCCTGATGATGTCAGTTAAAGGATGAGAGGAGAAAATAAAGAGTTAGTAAACACAAAGCTAAGACAGGCAATCTGTTAAGTCAGAACTCTGAGAAATCTCTGGAAACGAAATTAGGGCAAGGTAGACAGAACAGTTTTCTTACCTCAGTTTGGATTCTGGGACTAGCTTTCATACGAACACAAAATGACAGGCATTTCTGCTCAGTGCTGGTAACCTTCCATTCTGCATGAACATAAACAGGAGCACCAGGATGCTGGTCTTGGTACTGCCTCCAAATTCCTGAAAGAAGAGAGTCTAACCTCAATCACTCTATTTCTAAGTGAGTTATATACTGGTGTAAACATCTAAACTGCATTTTGACAGCAGAGTGCAGATTACACTGCTTGCACACAGGCAAAATCAGCCAGGTGAAAGAGAAAATACAGTTTGTCAGCAACTTAGTAGTGGCTGAGGACAGACTGAAAAATGCCTCACTTCCTAAGTTTTTTCTAGCCCTGATCTGCAATTAGTCCCATTGTGAAATGAGGAGGATGGAAGTCAGGGCGGCAAGCAGTCAATAATTTTTCATACACCACTGAATGTTTTAATCAGACTATTCTACAGACACACCTAGAAAATACTGTAGCAGAAGTTCCAAGAGAATTATCCAGTGGAGGCTTTGGCCTTCAAAACAAAATGAACAAATAGCATTTCAAAGTGACATAATAATAGATCTGCAATCACAGTTCAGAAAAAAAAATAATAATAATACTTACTCCCTTATGCACTTATCTAAGCTCTCCACCTCCAAGGGACACAGACAAAAGTCAGCGAACCCCTTGCCAGCTATGGTATCATCTCAAACTACTTCATTTCCATCTTAAATGCCCAACTGACAATTCTCTTCAGCTGGTTTCTTTTACCTTGTATCTTTCAAGTAGAGAAGTAATAAAATGTATCATATTTCTATTTCCTTTCTGTCTCCCAAATAACATGACCTTGTTTTTCGTAAAGCTGGGTTATTATTTCTATAAACAAACCAATTTAAAAGAAAAAAAAAAAAAAAGAGGGGGGGCGGAGTTTCCAGGACAGCAAAAACGAGGGTTTACCTACAAGCATGAAAAAAGTAAGGCAGGAAATACACACAGAAAATTGAAAGCTGTATTTCAGAAGTTCTCTAATTCCTCATGTAAAAATCAGGCTTGAAATTTTTCTTTGATACTACAAATGAACACTTACTTTAGGGTTAAATACAAAACTGAATTATATATAATCAATCATTTCTGGGATAAGGAATTACAGTACTAAATGGTCTTTTTTACATCACAAACTCTTACAAACTGTTAGGTATGGATGTAACCACGTACGTAAGAGATTGTTTTCGACAAGAATATTCAGGGATCATATGGGAATTTTTCACTGAAATTACTTAGGTAAGCAAAGTTACTCAATCAAAATTATTTTTGCAGTATCAAGACCTATACCACAACAACAACAAAAAAATCAAGTACAAAGTATCCTATAGAAATTCACTGCAAAGTCTGTACCAAAAAAATATAAATAAATAAAATACTTCAGGTAGTGTTTTTTCAAGTACGTTGATGTTTTTGCATCACTTACCAGAAATATATCATGGCAACCTCCACCTACATTATCTCCTTTCATTTTTGCTTTTCATGACAGAAATCCAAGTTCTCTGCTCATAACATGTTATACCTTTGTGATGCAGTGGGATTTTTGACATAACGACAACTTGGAGAACACCCAAAGCACAATGGAGTTGATAGCAATGTAGATGAAGCCTCTGAATGTAGAAACCATATTGCTTCTGGGATTAGTTTTTTGTTTGTGCTCCCTGAGCTATCCCTGTTCAAGAAATCATACCCCCACAAGACACAGACAAAAACCTTGTCTCAGAAGTATGGCTTTCACGTTCACCAGTCAACACTACAAGAATAAAGCTAGTTCCCAGTAAAAATCTTATCAAACTGTACCTAGTTTTTACTCCAGTGAAGCTAGAAAACATCATTGCTTATATTTCGTATGTGGGATTTCCCTCATGAACTCCTTCTTCATCTCCACTGTGATCTACATACAGGCTAGATATTTTACAGGTTATTTGTTGGTTTTAGTGTGTGTGGTTTTTTTTAAAGGAATAAAAAAGACAATTCAGTCATTTCTGCAGTGAAAACTCAAACACAGATTGCATCTGTGGGATGTAAATCATTATTCTTCTGCAAAGGAGAAACAAGTTTGCTGACCATTACAGAAGAGTTATGTGTGTCACAGTTACTATATTTTGAGATGCTTGCCCATTTCCCAAACAGACTTCCCTCACTGTTTCATACAGAACTTACTTAGCTCTTCACTCATCTTAGCACAGTCTTTGATAAGCTAGGGCTTATATCTAGCCAGGCAGCACACTGTGATCTGGCCGCTACTGTTCTTAAGAAAGCAAACTCAGCCAGTATTTGCTGACCACTGAAAGGCAAAATGGCTCCTACTTGTTACAGGTCAATATGCACAGGCAGGTTTCTTTGATTCTTGACAGTTATCATTAATTAGGTTTCTTCCACAGATAATTGTCAAGTACCTTCAGAAGCTGGTGGCTAAGTTCCTGACACCTCTCTAGGACAGGGCTGCACTCTGAAGGTCCAGGGAGAATGGAGCTCTCTTGTTCCCTGAGGAGAAGACAGATTGTGAGCAGAATTCACTCATGTAACCAGCACATCTTGAACAAGAGAACTCACTACAGTTGCATGTACGCTAGAGATAAAAACAACTGAGAAGTCAGTGAAAGTCATGCTCTTCTCCTGGAGGGAAGCAGTGGGTTGGCGCTTCATTGAGTCAACACACGCTGCAAAGATAGGGCCAGACTGAGAATTTAATATTCTTACTGTTGTGTTTACTCTGTACTTCTTACTTTGCAACCAAGGAAGATTTCACACACACAAGTACAACAACCACATGGCTTGTATCACCTGCCCAGACTCTGAATATTGGGTTATCAGTAACTACAGATCTTATTATTTTAACCTATTGCATCTTAATTCACTTTGATGTATAAGAATTTAGAAAAGCTGCTCTGTTCACAATGACATCTACACAAGCTTAAGAACATTCTGAAATTCCACTGGATTAGCACTTGGCTTTAACCTAGTTTGTGAACAATTCCAGACAGGTCTAATTTAACCAAATTTTAAAGCAATATGATGAATATGATGAAATGGTACTATGACTCCCTTACAGAAAGCTTTACAGAGTGCCTAAGAAACACATCTAGTCGCGAGCTCTCGAGACCAGTCCTGGACTTGTATTTTAGACACATCCCAGGGCTTTTAGTGAAAGGCTCTAGGACAGGATCTGTAGAGCTACCACTGCAGGGATGCCAACATAATCCAAATTTCAGTACCTTAAATGACTGCTGCACAGTACTCGCTCATTTATTCTCAAGTATAATCATGAAGAAACACCAGCACTTCATCATCATTTTGCGAAGAGCATAAAAGGTTAATGGTCAGATTAAGCAGAGAACAATTATATGACTGTATCTGAGACTTCTTCATTATAGGTGGAATGACTGACAGTATTTCATAAGATGTGCAAATTATGACTCAAAACCATGAATACCAACTTAATTTAAAGCATCTAGATGAAAAATCCAACTGACAAGTGCCATTCATCCCAACCAAATATCTTCCACACTGTTAAGCAAATGACAAGATAGTAAAGCAAAATGGAATTTAAACAGTGTTTTTCCTTCTCATTCCAGTGAAGCACAAAATCTGAATCCCACTTCTGCTCTCCGAACGATCTCTGCTAATATACCATTAATGAGGCACTCCAAAGAAGTTTCATTAGTTTAAAGTAATACATTCATTCACATTTCTTCTCCTTGGCTGCTGCTCATTTGATCTTCAATATGCTATACAATGTAAAACTGTCAGGATATTACTTAACACTTATGCCACAGAGAGGGGTGTGACAGAAAAAGAGTTTTTCACGACTGTATTGTTCACAGATGAAAGCTGGCTGCAATCAACTTGAATAGGAATGGAAAAATATTTCTGAAGGATTTTAAGAGGTTAAGCCTGTGTTTTAGCTTTCAATATATCAGGCCAAGTCCTCAGTGGTTACAAACCACTATAGCTCTATTTCAATCAACAAAGCCAGTTCAGAAATCGGCCTTTTTCTCTTTCCAAATATTGTCAACAGCCTGTGGGTTTTTTTTCAGATCGCCCTGCTTCAAATTCAGCCTTAAGAGAAAGCTCAGAGAACCTATTTGAATATAACTCAAAGTCCGGACATTTTAGTGGATTTGTGTTTGCTTACAAAATCCCAGCCTTTTAAAGCTGGGGGAGGAGGGTGTTAATAAAATAAATAAATAAATAAATTTAAAAAAACTTTTTTATGAAACCTTCAAAATTCAAAAGAATAAGCTCAAGTTCTTGACACATTAACACATTACAACAGTTTTCCAGACAACCTGCTTTCCTGCTTTCAAGAGAATAAAATACCCTTTTAAAATACAAACCCCAGGTAAGATCCCAGGTATTTTCTGTAACAGACCAGCTCTACACAGGTTTTGCAGGCACTGAAATGGACCCAAAGTCAACCACAGCTTTAGCTCTTCTTTCTTCCCTCTTGCTTTTACCGTCGGTATTTCCATTTTGAACACAGAAGGAGCCAACTTGCTCCTTGTGGCATAAGGTTGAGAAGAGGAAGTTTGAGGTCCTTTTGACACAAGGCTTTGCCGTTTGCTCTTGGGACGTGTCACCCCGGGGCTGGGCGCCGCCTCCCTCAGGCCCTCCTTCTCCTCACACCATGGTCCCCTGGCAGGGGACTGGTATAGGGGCACCCAGCCATTTTCCCTCTCCTATAAATCTCCACCACATCCAGCCTCCCCGAACTCTGCCATGACACAGGGAACGAATATCCCCGCCCCATCATTTTGTTGTTCGCTTGTGAGGCCTCACCCGAGGCTGAGGTGCGTGACTGCCCCGGCAGCGAAGCCCAGCCCGACCCACCTGCGGCGAGCAACCCCCGTCCGACTCTGAGGAAAAAAAATCAAAAAAAACACTCCCCACCAAAAGCCGGTTGTTAACCAACTTCCTCTGGTCCTTAACTCGAGAGAACTGCTGCTGGGGCGGTGACAGAGGCTAACCGAGCCCGTGAGAGCCTCGAGGTCCCGCTGCCCGCGCTGCCAGCGCCGGGTGTGAGGGGGACGCAGCCGCGGCTTCCCCCCCCCGCCGCTGCCCTCTGACAGGCGGCTGCAGCCCCAGGGCGCTCCTAGGGGCCAGGAGGGCTGAAACTGGCCTTTAAAAGTGAAATGAGCAACTATACAAACTACTGACACCCTAGGTGCCACAGCCTGACTTTAACCCTCACGAATGTGAGGAGAAAGAGAGGCTTCTGTGACTAAAGCACAGCTAAGTGAGCCTGGAAGCCTTTTGAGCTAGAAATCAGTCCCACGAGGCCATGCCTGCTTTTTTATTTCGTTTTGTTTTGTTTTCTCAACTGCTTTAGAGGTCTTACTTAACTAGGAGCCAGGAACTACAGGTCTGCCAGTAAATAATCTCAAGTGCCCTCACTCCCACCATCTAACCCGTAAGCATTCACAATTCCCCACAGTTTTAAGGCACTTGCATTTTTGTTGTTTTGCAATGTGTTTCATGACACATCGTTTCTGTTTCTGGCTCTCACCATTGTTAGCAATGCTGATGTCCCTTCATCATTGCTGAACTCACTATTCCATAATGCACATGCAAAGAGGCTGACAGAAAAGCAGTTGCATATGACGTGTGGAGGTCTGTAAGAGCTGATTTTGCTTATGGATGAAACCTCTTGGAAACTTTAGCAAAGTGAGCTGCATTTCACCTGGCTGTGAGGTCAGGGCCTTATTTCTTCTCTCAGCACAAAAGTGATTTTTTCATCAAACATGGAAGAAGTAAGGAGGAGGTAACTCAGTGAAAAATAAATAAATAAATAAATAAATAAATAAATAAATAAAAGAGAGAGAGAGAGAGACCATAGACTTTCTTGTAATCCATGGGAATTTGCAGTTCAAGAGTATGAAACAGCAAACACCAGCAGTAAGTTAGGGGAATACCTCTCCTCCAGGCACATTGCAGCACAAAACTGGAGTACAACTGGTTTTTAAAGTGACATTGACACTGGAAGCAAAAAGCAAGATCATCTAGTTCATAATGCTGAATTCAACATAAAAGCGGAAATTGGCTTTTTCTTTGCTGGTCTGGGATCCTGATACTCCCACAGTATGGATGGGTGCTTTCAGCAGCAGGTAACATTTTGCAAACAGGAGAAAACTGTTCTTATTTGGTGACTGTAAAGCACTCCATCCAAGGAAAATGAGATTCAAAGTAGGTAGCTTCTGTACATCTAGCAGACACTGATGGTAGTATGACTAGGGAATGGATGTAGCTGGGTGGCTTTAGTGACAGCTAAGGACTCATGGAATATGTGAGGGTATGCATGGAGTGGTAAACCTCATTTAAAAAGATGAGAAGCAGGAGTGTTCACTTCTCTTTGAATATATCTTACTTAGAATGAGAACTGCTGGGATTGCTGTGTGTTCCTCCAGTCCTGTCAGTCACACTGCTGCGTGTGGCCAGGATGTGACTGATACATCCTGACACAAAATATCAAAATGCCAAAAAAATTGAAATATGGGTCTAAATATGTAACAGGATCATGTTATTTGGAACTGGCACGATCTTTTGAAAAATATAATTATAATATTCAGAAGACCTTTTTTAACCTACATGCCAATAATTACAAAGTTGAGCAAAAGAACGAGAGAGACCATCTTTTCATCTGATTACTCCATACATCAAACACAGACCATGAACAACTACCAAAGTAAAAATAAATCCTCATATAATCACCACTCTCAACTATATCTTATAAAATAGCATGAAATCGAAGTATGTGATCTGCTGGGGCACTGAGGACCAGGACAGTGGGATTCCTGGGAGAGAAAAGGCTCTAGAATAGCAAAATAATAATAATAATAATAATAATAATAATAATAATAATAATAATAATAATAATAATAATAATAATATCTAGATTATTACTACAAAACCATAAGAATACCTAAGGTTTCCTAGAGGGTTAATTTACCAGCATGCAACATGGGACTCCAGATTTGTATGAGCTAATTAACATGGTATTCTTAAACACTTTAACAAGTACAGTCTACAAAACACTCTGAAAATAAACAGAGTTTATCATCCATTTAAACATTCAAATTTATTTCAAACACCAAGAAATCAGGCTTCTAGGTTGAATGCTCTTCCAGTGGCTTTGTTGCTATAATGCGTAATTCAGACTCTGACATTTATGATTCTAATTTGTGTATGATTTGTATTTGAAAACTAACAAACAAGCACCCTCCAAGAGAAGAGCAATACCAACACATCATAAGCATGAGAAAACACCACTGCAAAAGCCCATAAATAACCATCTGCACATTCTCCTAAGGGCCTGGACTTTCGGGTGCCTTCCTCCCTGGATTAACTCTGTTAATCCCTCTGTTATCTCCAGAGGACACACATTGACAGCTATGTTCTTTGGTAAGGGCACCCCATCATGCATCTACACTGTGGGCCACCTTGAGTGTTCACATTGCAGACAGGTAACACCCTTGGAAACATATATAACACAATGTGTGGGACATCTTCCATCAGCAGTAAAGATCCAACCTCAGAGTCAATAAGCTATTTCTGCTGCTTGTAGTGATTCTTTCCTGCAGAATCATCTGCTGTGAAAACAACTTCACAGTTCCCCGCTCCTATTTACTTTATTACAAATATAACATCCTTACTTTTACAACACATAATTCCTTGCAGAGGAACAGCCAGAATCACCAGGGTATTACTTCATTTTTTTCACCACTGCAACTGTGTCAAATGAAAGCTATGAATTATTTTTCAACTGGCATACTGGAGCGCTGACATGCAAAGGTGAGCTCAGGAGACGCAGTAAGTTCCTTCAAATGGGAGTTGTGTTTCTGCTCTGTGGTCACACACCGTGCCAGAAGTCTCCTTGTCACTGCACCGCAGCCTCAAAGCACCCAAAGTACATGCAGCACCAGCAGTGGCGGTGGTGGTCTACAGCCCATCAGCTAAGTAAATGACTGGGCCAAAACTGAACTTTTTTACACCAGAGAGGGCAATTAAACAACTGGGCTCAGCACAGGCAGAGCTGTCAGCCTACACTCTCCCATTTGAAGACAAGAGCCACTCTGTGCCTGGTTTAACCCAGGTGCTTTACGTCCCCAAGTGGGGCAGTGAACCATCTTTTTTCTGCCTTAAAAACTGACAATTATCTTCTGCATTTATGTGTTATAATGCCATAAAAATTGAGGAAGCTGGCAAGTTTCTAGCTAGGAATTTCTAGGGGATCCAAGTTAACTTAAAATCCATTTGCCACTGAATTTCAGTCAGATCTAGATACCTAATTCCTTTAGCTCTGTTTGAAAGTCCAAATCAAAAACTTACAAAACTCAACAGTGGAAATCAACAAGAAGTAAAAGTAAATTGAAACTAGTGTAGCCGTAACTATCATGTATCTAAAGTTTGTGTTAATATAAAATACATTTTAATCAACATGACTGCATGCCTTTAGTTTTGGTTTTATCCTTATTTTAAAATAAAATGCTATAGCTACAGTTTAAAGCAAGTGTGTAAAGCTAATCAATTACATTCACTCAATTTTTCCAGTCACTTGATATAGCAGACATACTCATATTAAGCCAAAAAATACTCTTTCAACTGTTTTTTATATCTCGTGGAATGTTCTGCTTTGTAATTGGTCTTTTACGGGCATTATTTTAAAGCATAGAGTCAAGGTACAATGATGTTCTGAGGATTTGCTATGGTGCACAGCGATTATATCTACTTTCTCTCACTGCAATAGCTATAAAACAAAGTTTACGATCCCTGCTCTATATCATCCTCTTCAACACCTTTCGATTTATATCATGCACAGGGTCAGAATTTAAGATTGCTCAGAGAGAAACGGGGCAGAATTCTATTATCATCTAAACCAACCTCTTTCTAAGTTGTTCTGTTTTGCCAAAATACCTCAGCAAAGAATTTGATCCAATTATTTTCTTAATAGAGCAGATATCAACCACACTCAGTAAACCAGTCAAAACAGATTTTTTCTAACCATTGGACTTGCACTCACTACATAATGGCTAGAGTTCTCTCTTGTGCTCTTTTTATTATTACTACTGTTAGCACCCGCAATGGGGATTATGGTAGTAGAAATGAACAGGCAATTTTGCTAATGATGCATGAAGCAATATAAAATATACTGTAATTTTCTGTAACTGCAATATATTTCTCTCTGGAATGTTGACTACTGTGAAAAAAGTATTTCTGTTTTCACTGTTAATTCCAAATTATTTTTGTTTTGTCAGGCTTTCCTCACAAACAAACAAATAAAAACACCACACAACATGAAACAAAATACTTATCACTGTTTTTCTACTATAAATAGCTGTGCTATACATTGTAAATTCCACAGCACTCTTATTTGCCCCAACATGACCAAGTCCTAACAGAAATGTATCTTGCACACAATGCAGTCCCCAGAATTATGGTGGCTGTTTGTAATGCTTATGTGTACATTGCCAAATGACTTAAATAGCCTCAGAAAGTAGAATATGTTTGTTACAAGAATAAAAGGGTGTCTTAGATAATGATATTTAATCCTCATTTTTTTCTAATAAGGCAAAAGGTTTTTGTGTTTAATGTATTATTTTAAAATGTCCCTTTTTTTCTTTGGCTGAAAATTCTCAGTTCCCTTGAGGTCAGTGTGGCTATGCTGATATAAACAACTTGAGAACAGTTGGGCCATAAAACAAAAATATATTAAAAAATAATAATTAGTCTGGATGTTGTTTCTCTGTGACAACTTTCAGTGAAATGTGAGATAAGGAACACGTGATTATAAGAGCTTTGCCTTCAAAAGAAACATGACAACCAAAATTATGTTAAATGTAAAAAATTAATGGGATCTGATGTAATTTCTGTAAGGCTTATGGTCTGTCTGTATGACTTAAAGGTTGAAAATAATTTCCCAGTTGGCTAGGAAAAGAACACGCTATTTACATGAAGTAATTCTATTCAACTGAAGAATAGGAGCTACATTCACAAAATGTCTTGGGTGTTAAAATACTGAATATTGCAAG